TGAGGCTGGCAGCTGAGTGGGAATGGGAATCAGCCCTAATGAGACTAAATAAATGTGGCTTTTTCATGGCGTTCCAGAGAAAGCTCGGGAGCAGAGAGAGGCTGATTGCTGAGCCAGAGCGGAACGGCTGGAACTTCATGTGTATGACACCCAAGGGGTGGTCCCCCTGTGTCCACGGAAGATGGTGGACACCACCTCGCCACCGGGAGCGCAGGATCCAGGCCAGGCTCCTAAGAGCCGCGACCCCCTTCAAAGTTGCCCTGCCATGTGGTAGAGGACAGGCCAGTGGGACGAAAACCAACCCTCAGAAGACAGAGAACAAAGAATCCTCTGATTCTGGGGGAAATCAGGCCAATCCTCTTTCAACAACCAAACCCACTGGCCTATGACTCTAAAAATAACACTTTGCAGAAAACGCTTCCTTAGAGATGAGTACAGGAGAAGACACAATGATTCCCTCTCCCCGCCCCAAAAAGAGAGAGAGAGAGAGAGAGAGAGAAAGATGTTTGGTGTAAAAGAAAATAATTCTTCTTAAAAGAAAGCATCTGACTGCTACTTTATTCTACATGCAGACTGAGTGCCTGCTTATGTAAAACACAATCCTAGGCACTTGGGGAGATGAGGGAAGCTGGAGAAGAGCAGAGAATAGACACAAAAGACAAAGACATCAGGCCTGCTTTTCAAGGTCTCACAATCTTGTAGATGACACTGTTGATAGCATCTCTTGCAAACTGCACATTTTAAAACATCAATTGAGCATTTACCTTTGAGAACACAGGCCCTGCTTACAACAGTCAGCATTGCAGGCAGCGTTCCTTGCACATGTGGGTTCTCCGGGTACCGACACATCGGGCAGCGCATTCCTTCTGTCACGTGTGTTGTACACACATACATGGTTGTCACATGTCAAATCAAGGCAATGATTTTTCCAGAGTTTCTACATGGATCTTATATTAGTTATCTACTGTTGTAAAACAAATTACCCCAAATATTGACAGCTTAAAAACAACAAAGCTATCTTACATAGTTTCTACAGGTCAGGAACCCAGTAGCAGATTATCTGAGTAGTTCCAGCTCTTAATGCCTTACCCCCCAACTCCACTTCTCCTTTAAAAGAAAAAATACTTTGTTCACAATGGAAGAGTAACAATGTTTTCTCAAAACTTAACATTTTTAAATGTTTTTCTCCCTCATACTCAGGATTTGGTGGCAGTTGGAGGGTTCTGACGTTTGGAATTACACTAACACTTGGAGTGACTGAAAAGAAAGGCCCTCTGTATGCTTTGATCTCCTTCACCGGCAGAGACCCTGGGGAGAATACTGCAGGTGTCCAGATGGACCTGGCCTAGGATTGGCCGGCGAGAACTAGATGGTCCTCAGCCACCCGTCCTTCCTACCCTCTGCCACCTCCTGCCCCTACGTAACGATAAGGAAGCAGCAACTCCAAAAGCAGTTAGGGAATCATAAGCAGATGTGGAATAACACAGACATTGTTTCACATTATGGTGGCATTTGCCAGCATAAAAATTATTATAACTTTTGCTATAAATTGTTCTGTAAATTTTACAAAATATGCAAAAACTGACATTTCAAGGGCTGAGATAATTTAGATTTATTGAAAAGTTGAGGCCCTTGACATTCAGCAAAAGAGAGTATATTTCTTTATCTAGCTTTGAGTTGCATGCGTCTTATTTTTGTTTTTGTTTTTAGCTCCTTGTTTATCATTCATAGGTCAAAACTGGCCACATCTAAGCTTTGACCACTTAATCCAGTTTTATCCATAAATTTCTCCTGTGTCTCAGGCAGCAGATGTAATGTCTCTGAATCCCAGATTTCTTATCAGAGCATGCAGCTATCACGGCCTGCCTCAGTGAGTTCACAGAAAAGTCTTTGATTCCTAGAAAGCACTCTAAAATGCTTCTTTGACATAGACTGGTTCCCACTGTCTTTATGTAGCTCCAGTCCTAAGGATACGTTTCTCATTACTCCACCCTCTCTTCACACTCCCCCCAACACACACATACATGTATGCACACACAGGCGCGTATGCACACACATGCACACACCCCTTCTCTGTTGAGTGCCGCAGTCCTATCACCCATCAGGGCCATGCTGCCTTGGCTCTGTCCCAAGCAGAACCTTCGTGAACGTGGTGCTTCTCACCTGAGACACTTAGGACACCTCCCCTCTGTCTGTGTACAGGACAGACACCATTGTTGGAGCTGGGGTGGCCACAGCGTGCTGGCTGGCCCTTAGCAAACATGGCTGTGGTGTGGGTGCCGAAAGAGTTTGTCACATGCTCCTTTGATAGGGACAGTGTGTCTCATGACCTCTGCCCCTTCTCAGAAGCAGACAGTCATATGGGATTAAAAGAGAAATCTTCATCAGGAATCAAACCCTTCTCCTCAACGCCATCCCTCCACACTCTTGAAATAAAGCTTGAGGGCCAGTTTAGATTTAAATCTCAGCTTCCACGGGGCAAAACCTGACTTTGACTTTGACAACTGCACACCAGCTGTCGTGGGTTGAATTAATGTGGCCCTGTATGTTTAGACCATTACTGTGGTAACACACGGGGGTGCTGTGTCCACTGCCTCATTCGGGGCACACAATATTCCGCCTCCAGAGCTCATGCGAAGCTTGTGTCTCCCATCCCCATTCAGCGGAAAGTACCCATGCTGTGGTCTCTAATGTGCATGCTAAGTGTTTGCTGTGCAGTCCCACACTGAGCACAATAACAATTTCTAATGGTGCCTAAATTGCTCACTCTTCTACAGGTAGATGGCTCCTTCTTTACTGGGGTAGGGTATCCAGAAGCCTAGCCCTGACCATATTTCACTTCTCTGGGAAGTTTCATTTGTCCTCAGCTATTGCAAACACGATCTTGCTGAACAGAGCTGAATTTTTAAGGCCGAGTTTGCGGTGTGGATTCTGATGGCAGCACGTTAGTTCAAGTCTCTGAGGACCAGGGCCAATAAATGTGAAAGGGACAACAGTAGATTGGCATAGTTTTCCATTTCCACCAGGATGAAAAACTGCTATAAATTAAGTCTAACCTTAAATGTATAATCTGTCCTTGGGAGGAAAAAAAAAGGATATAACATCTTCAAGCTCTCGGCATCCCTTACGAGGAAAAAAAAAATTGGTTCTAAGGGTCTCTGATCTTGTGTTTTAGTAAAATAGAACTGCACGGCTGACTGACAGTTCTGATCTAAAGCATTTACGTTTAAGTTTTGATCTCTCTGCTTTTGATTAAAACTAATGAGCTCATTTAATTCAAAATGGGAATCTCTGATAAGAGAAATAAGGTTGATGTGATTGGATTAGAGGGGTAAATTAAACTCTTAGAGCAGAAGTTTGTGCTTATATAGTGTATTAAAAAGCTGTTGGCGTATTATGGCGTGTTAGATGATGAGAAAAATTTCATAGTAATTCATATTTAATCAGAAGAAATGAAAGTACTAAATATAACATGGCTCTGCTTTTCCCTCGAGTGATAAAAAGCTGTACATTTAAAATGACATCAGATCCATTCTCTCTAAAACAAAAAAAAAAGAAAGAAAATCTTAAGAGAGGGACATAGAAAAGGACACTTGTCAGTGGTTCCATCACCCCAGAATAGAAATGCCATAAATATAGGAAAATATAGTCACATTAAGACAGGAATGATACAGGAAGGCCACAGACCACATATAGCAAGCTTTCTCTTATTACAGTAGCTCTCATTTTTCTTTCGTCTGAGCACAATGTTTAATATAAAAAAAATAGAGATGTCTTTGCCTTAGAAATACGGAATATGTTATATAATATAAAATTTTACAGTTTGGGGCCTATTTTCCTTTGTTTTCATAAACTATATATTTAATTCTTAAATCTTTACCCCATCCAGAGAATATCAGTGCTATTTTGATATTCTACTTTGAGAATATCAGAATAAGGGCTGCTCAAAAGAAATACTATTTGTTGTTGCAACTTTTTTTTGTTTTAGAATAAGAAAAACTTTAAAAGCACTATTTTAGAGGAATAAAATGAGAGTATTTATTGGGCTTAAACAGCCCAAAATTATTTTTTGCAGGAAAAACAAATTTATATGATACCTTAGAAGCTCGACTTTAAAGAAAATAGACTTATGTTGCCTTCCAGTCTTATGAATAAAGGCATTTTTTAGATCAGCAAGATGGCAAACTACCATTTTAAGTTTCATAAGTAAAAATGCATTGTACTTAGTCTAAAAATATGTAAAAGGAAAGAGTGTCTTACTAAGGGAGGACACTGTTATTTTCCCATCCCAGAAGCAGGGAAGCGGGGAACCCAGAGACTGTTTCCTGTTCGGGGGAAGGTAGGGGACAGGCTGCTGTGAGTGACAGGAATGGAAAGTTGGGATTGTGAGGAGCTGGTGCTTGTTTCTGTCTGTACATCCCACTCTCAGCCCTCTGTCTTCAGTCAGTTGAGAAGTTTTCATGCTTCCTGTTCCCCACAGTAAAGAAAACCAACTCAAGAACGCAAGGGCACTTGATGGTTCTGTGGTTCTCAGAATGCCCCAGGAGGTCAATGACACAAGACGGGATTCTCAGGGAGAACAAGGAGCAAGCCATCCTTACCCTTCCTGGGAAGCGGAAGCAGCTCTGCCTGAGTCTTAGTTGATCCCGTCAGTCTGGGGAGTCTTTCTTTTTCATGACAGTTCTCTCCGCACACACCGGCCAACCCTCCAGATGTGCTGTCACTGCTTAGTTGCTATCAGACCTCACTTAGGGAGCTGCTGGGAATTAAAAGGCCCCAAAAACTCTTGCTAGAAACTGGAATGAAGTTACTTTGGATAAATTAATTTTTCTTTTTTATTTTCTGCAAAGTAAACATTTTCTAAATGAGGTAACTTGATTACTGGGCTCTTAGCACCTATCAGTCATTTCTTTTTAGTGAACTCAAGGACTGCACCTGAGCAGTAGCTGTGAGGGGCTGTGCAGAGATCTAAATCGTGTGTATGTCTTTGTATTCCTCAGTGGAGTCAACCAGTCCCAGTCTGCTAACCACTGACAACACCCTTGAGCGTTCCTTTTTCATCCGAATGAAATCTACTCTGACCAAACGCGGCGTGCACATCAAATCATCAGGATATAAGGTAAGCTGGGCTCTGGAAGTGGAAATAGCTCTGTCTTAGGTCAATCCTGGATCATTTGTATTGAGTTTCCCAACTGCGTTGGGTCCGTATAATTGATACATGTGATCTTGAGCAACCCACAAGGTTCTTAGCTATCTTCCTGTCTCAAGGTAGGGCTTCATTACATGTTAGGCCAGTGATTCCCAACCTTCTGGCCCTTTAAATACAGTTCCTCATGTTGTGACCCAACCATAAAATTATTTTTGTTGCTACTTCATAACTGTAATGTTGCTACTGTTATGAATCATAATGTAAATACCCTATATGCAGGATGGTCTTAGGCAACCCCTGTGAAAGGGTCGTTCGACCGCCAAAGGGGTCGCGACCTACAGGTTGAGAACCGCTGCCTTAGACTCACTTCAGACATTACTGCTACACCAAATGCCTCAATATCAGGCCTTTTCTTAAAGCACTTGTGAATAACGCACCAAGGGCCTCAGCACATGTTAGAAATTCACTTTATCGGAGAAAGTGAGCCAAATATATATCAGTCCTTAAAATGAGAATTCTGTAATTGCTGCTTATCAGAATTCCACTTCTCCCACTTAACTCTTCAAAGTCTCCCTTTCTCTTGAGAGAAAGACTGTCCATTTTAATATTTCAGACTGGCCACTGAAATTCATACATGTAAATACGAAAATCAGGTTGGACATCAGAAATCTTATACCTTAGCACATAGAATACTCAGTATACAGATTATATGTTCCCCACAACAATGAAGACCAAGTCTAGAGCTGCAATCTGCATTATTATATCATTTTAGTTACTATAGCGACATAAATTAAGACCTATGAAACTTAAGAAATGCCTTTGGCAATGTGAATCATATCACACTAACCAACCTCTCAAACAATATTTATTACATTCATAGTACAGAAGTAGACTGTACTATGAATGTGGTCCCCACAACCTTTCCCTATTTCAGAGTGTAGGGCTTTTGACAGCTAAGCTCTTTAAGGTGACCCCCGTCAGCAAGGGTAACAGTCCGTATTATCAGGCCTTAAAAACCTGATATAAATCAAGACTCTGCATAAAAGTCAGAGTCAGGCACTGTATTTGACATGAATTCTTCAGAGAAAAAAAGACAGCAGGTTGGGAATCGGGCCCTTCCGTGCACCACCCGAACCTGAGCTGACTAGTCTAAAAGGCAGGCTCAGAGCAGCCATAACTTTTAACAGGGTCAGAGTGAAGGAGAGGGCCTGAGCGGCCACCTGCTGCTGCTTTACCCTACAGACCCCGTTACGAGATATGTTGGAGGAAAACAAACCAGGCTCTATCCTTAGGATCATTTTGTATTTTCCTACCTTGCTGAGCACAATACATTTGTTAGTTATTACTGTGTAGCATTAGCCAGTTTGGTTTCTATTGGTAAAATATGGGTTTAATGATTATTGTCATTTGAATGTAAAAAAAGATATATTCTTTGTGTCCAGCTTTCAGGAGCTGTAGGGCTTCTTTTCAAGGATTACTGTCTGTCAGTCAGCATTTGTTCTTCACCTTTAGTGGTTTTTACTGGTTCGTAGGGGACATATCCCAGGAGTGAAGGAGGTAGGACAGGAGAGGTATAATTTGAAAAAGGAATATTTAGTGTAATTCAATGTTATTAGATAATTTAATATTCTGAAAGAATGTATAACACCCACATGACAAACTAGAGATGTAAACGCTCTGTAAAATTTTGGATCTGCAAAAATGTGGGATGTCTGGGTAAAAAAATAATATGGGAAAGTAGTATGAGTTTCAATCTAGGCAAGAAACCAAATAGCTTGGGTTCTATTTGTTTGTTTTGCTATAGGGGAACCTCAGTAACATGAGCTGAAATTGGGCAAACTACCGTTTTAAATATTAGTACAACATTCATTCATTCAACAGATATTTACTGAGCTCCTACTATGAAGCCTCTTCTAGATCCTGGAAATGCAGTACTAACATTAAAAAGTCTCTGCTTCCATGGCATTGCATTCTAACCGGGGGAGACAGGCAATGACAACATGATGAGAAGGGAATAATAAAGAAGGTGGTTTCAGAGAGCGATGAGGACTAAAATAACAGTAGCTAACATTTATGCGCACTGCAAGGTGTGGGGCATGGTACTGGGTACATGTATTAGCCCCGCCAAAAATCCTAGAAGAAAGTAGTCCATTGTTTTCATTTTACAGATGAGGAAACTAAGGCAGAAGAGGTCAATTGCATATGTCAAGGTCACAGGTTGAAGAGACAGAACTAGGTTTTGAACTCTGGGATTCTGGCTCAAAACCCCATGTACTCAACCATTAGGCTACACTATTACACGGACAGTGAAGCAAGGTAATGTGAGGACATGGCTGGTGGGGGCCCCACATTAGTTAGGGGGGTCACAGAAGGTCTCCCTGAGCAGGTGACATGTCACCTGTGAGTGGTGAACGAGAAGGGAACATGATGAAAACATAAGGAAGAAGAGTTTCTGGAGTTCCTTGGGTTTAGGATGGAAGATACCTTGCTGTAGGAAGGGGCCTTTGAGAAACAAAATAGTAAAAAGTACAATCGTGGATGTCTAGGACTGGAAAGGATTTAGGAGCTGTTCCCATTTCCATCCAATAATATATGTTAAAGTGATCACACTCCGGTGACATAACTCTGTCAGTACATCTTTCTCAAGGTATCATAAAAGTTTCCCTCCAATGCCTAACCCCTCCCCAGAACCACTAACAAGAGGAGATTCATCACCTCCCACCACCACCACCATAAGATGAATCATCCAGCAGACCCAGCGCTCCCCCTCCTCCCTCCACGGTGAACTTCCCTCGTTAATTAACCTTGTCTGAAAGTTAGCGGAAGAGCTGGCTGTGAGAACCCATGACACGGCACAGCTGAATAACATCCCTATTTATCTGTTCATTCTCAGTAGATAAATCTAACAGCTTATAAAACATTCAAATAAAACTGGTAATCACCCTACCACCACACAATAAACACAAATAAAAAGAAACAACGATGATAATTTCTCCATATTCCTAATTTACTACCATTGCGTGCTTCTTTCTTTTCCCTTAGTTAAAGATCCAAGATGTTAAGCCTTGCTCGGTGCAGGTCATTATATTTCTCTCTATTTTTTCCTGTAACCTCAGCACATGGACTTTTCTGACTCTCTCCATCATTTTATCTGCCACTCTTTCTTTAGTGTCATTGTCACCGATTGTAATAATTGTTACAAAAGTACCACTTATTGACTCTGTGGCAGACACTATACCAAACATTTTATGCTTATTTTAGCTAATCTGCACATTGAAGACTTTCTCTGTCCCAGGCATTATTATACCCATTTTTCAGGTGATGAAACTGAGGCTTCAACAGGTTCAATAGCTACTGTGGAGTCAGGATTAATCCAGGTAATTAGGCTCCAGAGTTTGTACTCTTCACCCCTATGCTTCACAGCTTAACAAATCTAGTCCAAAGAAGGGCTCAGCATGAGCAGGATCTCAACACATGAAAAATTAAAGTATTTTTT